CCCCGTAACATAGAGGCTTAGTAATTAGTACTATGCAGTGGCCTGAAATTAAGTGAAGTCCAGGTCTTTTGCTTGTAAGTGTATCTTTATCTTCATGTCTATTAACTATTCCTCTTTCAAATATGAGGCCAAAAGAACATAAATTCTTCTTTTTTTCTTCCTGTCATCTTTTTAATATAATTATCGACAGCATTTTTTCATTCTTTACATCCATTCATTGTTTCTAAATGCTTGTAAAATGATATATTTTGAGTTCTATTTCATATATATCATACACAGTATATATCACAAATTACATGTAATAGTGTTAAGAATAGATCTTCAGGTGTCCCAAAACATGCACTGTCACTTTTCTTATTTATACAAATGTATTTTTATAAGTATCTTTGCATGTATTCTGTGAAATTTCTTTTAATTTGCACATTTTCTGTAAGAAAAGTCAAAATGACCAGAATACATCTTTATGAGAAATTAACACTGTTAATTAACACTATTTAGGTTTGGGTAAATAAAAATAAAATCAGGAAACTTTCAAGATGTGCAACAACTGCATGTAAAAAGCTTTAATAAAAACAGAATATTTACAGATTGGTTTCTGTTATGTCGTTTCCTTAAATGAATATTTGCAATAATTTCTCACAACCTGATAGTGTCAAACTCAGATATGTCGGGGAGTGAGCTTGCAAGAGAGAGCCATACCTTTCAAATATGTCCATCTATCCATTCATCCATCCATCCATTTTCTTCCACTTATCTGGGGCCGGGTCGCGGGTATAGCAGCCTTAGCAGAGAAGCCCAGACCTCCCTCTTCCCAGCCACCTCCTCCAGATTGTCTGGGGGAATACCAAGGTGTTCCCAGGCCAGCCGAGAGATATAATCTCTCCAGCGTGTCCTGGGTCTGCCCCAGGCCTCCTCCTGGTGGGACATGCCTGGATCATACACCTCCCTCACCCAGGAGGCGCCCAGGGGGCATCCTTGTCAGATGCCCGAACCACCGCAACTGGCTCCTTTTGATGTGGAGGACCAGGATCTCTAAGGAGAGGACAGCCACCCTTCAGAGGAAGCCCATTTTTGCCACTTGTATCCATGATCTCGTTCTTTCGATCACTACCCACAACTCGTGACCATAGGTGAGGGTAGGGATACAAATCAACTGGTAAATTGAGAGCTTTGTTTTTACACTTCCCTCTTAACCACGACTGACTGGTACAGCATCCATATCACTGCAGCCGCAACACGAGCCCACCTGACAATCTCCTGCTCCCTTCTCCCATTACTCGTGAACAAGACCCCGAGATACTTCATCTCCTCCACTTGGGGCAGGAACTCGTGCCTGACAGAAAAGGAAGGAGGATGTTGTGTGTGTGTGTGTGACTAATGTGTGTGTGTGTTACTTAGTTCTGCTTTTTCTGTCTGGTTTCCTGTATTTTATTAATATGCCTCTGCAGCTCTGCACTAAACTTCCTGTTTCTTAACTTCCCCTTACTAAAGCCTCTGTTGCTAGGCGACCTGTCACCCTCTGACCTAGTTCTTTCTCACATCTGGGCTTGGTTTATAAAGGCCTCTATTATTAAAATACATAAAACAATCTAATCAGAAAATAAGCACTAAGAATATATATTTATTTTGTAACATTGTTTAAGTTAATGACACCCAATGAAGCCAACAGAACCACATCATCCACAAAAAGCAGAGATGACATTCTGAGACGACTCAAGTGAAAGTCTTCCACCACTTGGTTATGCCTAGAAATTCTGTCCATAAAAATTATGAACAGAATCTGTGACAAAGGGCAGCCGTGCCAGAGCCCATCACCCACCGGGAATGAGTCCAACTTATTGCCGGCTATGCAGACCGAGCTCTTGCAGTGGTTGTATAAGGATTGAATGGCCCATAGCAATGGGCCAAACATCCCATACTCCAGGAGCACCCCCCACAGGACACTCATATGGACACGGACGAATGCTTTCTCCAAATCCACAAAACACATGTAGACTGGTTGTGCAAACTTCCATGCACCCTCAAGTATCCATAAGAGAATAAAGAGCTGGTCGTGTGTTTTACAACCAGTATGAAAACCGCATTGTTCCTCCTGTATCTGAGGATCGACTAACAAACAAACTTTTCTTTCCAGCACCCTGACATCCAGCACCCTACCTTCCCAGGGAGGCTGAGGAGTGTGATGCCCCTATGGTTGGAACACATGCTCTGGTCCCCTTCCTTAAAGATGGGAACCATCACCCCGTCTGCCAAGCCAGAGGTATTTCCCCTGATCTCCATGTAACATTGTACCAACCAGGACTCAGGGCGGACCTCATCCACCCCAGGGGCTCTGCCAACAAAGAGTTGTTTAACTGCCTCAGTGACCTTGCCCCCAGGTCATCCCCTTCTTCCCCACACTCTGTTTGCTCCATGGTACCAGTGGGATTAAGGAGGTCCTCGAAGTATTCCTTCCACTGCCTGACAATTTTCTCAGTCAAAGTCAGTAGCGCTCCACCCGCACTATACAGAGTGCAGGTAGAGCACCGCTTTCCCCTCCCGAGTCACCTGACGGTTTGCTGGAACCTCTTTGAGGCAGTCCAAAAGCCTTTTTCCATGGTGTTGTGGGGCCTTCTCAAATGTAGGTATAGTCATCGGAAGTGCTTTGGAGTGTGTATTGAATATTAACTGCCAAGCCTCACCAAGTGCATCAAAGGATTATTTACAAAAGAATGAACAAATAACTCATCAAAATAAAACAAAACAAAAATCTATTAGCAAAGTGGAATCCCAGAATGCCTTTGTCCATGACTGGTTAAGATTGTGAACTATTTCTAGATAGTGTCAACTGCCCCGATTTGCCAACTAATTATTGGCCCCGAAGCCTACCAAATTACTATTAGAGCTGGCCTACTGGTATTATACAGCTAATATATATATTGTTTAGTATTAAGCTTTGCTTGTTCCATATTCAGTTTTCCAGCAAAACTTATTTGAGTCCATAAGAAAAGATTCATTCTTATATCTGGAGGAAGTTTTTTTTTTTCAATAAATATTAATGTTAGCCCGTGACTTTGTTCCAGTTTTGAATTTTGGCCCACTGTGTATTGGAGTTTGGCACCCCTG